CAATCTGATTGGTCAATTCAATCAGTCATGTAAATGTAGAAGAGTTGTAAGAATTGGGACTTTTGGAAATCAATTCTCACTAGTTATCACTAGTTATATTGATTACGGTTGAGAAAGAAATACAGGAATTTAAGCGTTTATACCTTAGGGCCTCAACATTGTATCAATGATAATTTCGCATGTACTGGTAAATTAGTGATTCTATTGTCGGGATTGTACAATCATTAGTAGAAAAATTTGAAATACAAGTCAAAAGAAGGGCAATACTTGCAGGCATGAACTGATATGATTTAGGAGTTTGAACAAAGTGAAAGAGGTGATGATTTATTGAAAATATAGAGACATCGAAATCTGAAAGGATTACAGTGGATTTTATTCTTGTATTGAATTCCCTCGGAGGGTTCGATCCAGGAGATTAATACTTCTTGATGAGAGCTTAACCTCTGGGACACTGAGCTGAAATGCAATAGTTAACATGTATATCGTTTTAATTAATTCACGCTATTACGCAACCATCTTCCATAGTTATTGGCGAGAAAACTACTGTCTCACATTCAGTATGACTTCACTCTACTTTCTCATCAGTATTGTGATCTTTTCACTGAGAGATCACAACAACTGCAATTGTCGAATTCATTTTATTATGCTCTTCAAGTGATTTTAACCAATATCATTATTTTAGTAAGTTACCATATAGGATTCTTGATCAAATTACAAGTTACCTTACAACTTTACACCTATGTTAGCTTGTCCAGTGCATTAATAATTATGAAGAATTTATACTGTACACATGTCTGCATTTTGAGTTTGAAATCCATCCACTTACCTGACATTACAACATTCCACTGTATTTATTACCTGAATTTCATACATTTGAAAAGAAATTAGAAATATTTCGAGAAGTTTGACCTGCAGGTATATAACTGGTCGTATGAGAACATTCGGTTAATTGACTTTCAACTTATGGATAGCAAGAAAGCAAACAAACACATTCTTTGTTTGAGTTCAGTGAACAAAATAAAACAGTCATTTAGTAATACATCAGAATTTCATTTTTGCAAATTTTGGGGTATATTAGTTTTTTGAAACCATGAATCGATCAATGTTAGACCACTATTAGAAACCTGGGAGCACTGGACGGCCGTTTCGTCCTGGTATGGGACTCTTCAGCAGTGCGCATCCACGATCGATTCATGGTTTCAAAAATGTGTAACTTAACAATCTTCACAACTCCTGTAATGAAAATTACCTGTGCTCACTAGTGACTAGCTTTGTGAGGAATCTTCTCCGAGTTCTAGTGGGGAGACGTGACCAGTGAAGTTCAACCTGTTCGGGTGTAGACAGTAACTACCGAAGACTGTATGAGGTTGAGCAACTCCGTGAATTGAAGTTAGACATTAACACCGTTAGATGCCGGCTCAGTGGTCTAACGGGTAGGGCGTTCGCGCACAATACCGAAGGTCCTGGGTTCGAATACTGCGGGGTGCAGGAGTCGTGGATGCGCACTGCTGAGGAGTCCCATACTAGGACGAAACGGCCGTCCAGTGCTTCCAGGTTTCTAATGGTGATCTAACATTGGTCGATTCATGGTTTCAAAAATGTGTAACTTAACAATCTTCACAACCCCATAATGCATATATTAGTATTACCAACTTGAAAACATTTACAATTTGTTACAATATACTTGTTGCTTCTCGGTTTCGATTTCGACAAGTATTCCTGCAAGTTTTTAAAAGTCATAATTTCCAACTATTATATCAATTCATGTTTTATCTGATAACTGGTAACAAACATATTTTACTAAGGATTGAACTTGATGCATTAGGTGGCCTGATATGGTATGATTAGTGAATGACAGACTGTAAACCTGAGGACAACCACTGTTGAATGTCCAGGTGCATTGTCATAATGCAACTGTTATTCACTGAGATTACATAATTTTAATCATGATAGTGTACACGCCTCCCTCAAATAAGAGTTAGGACTTACCGTTTATCCCTCAGTGGAAAATCCATGGTGGATGTTAGTTATGTATTTAATAGGGCATGGATGCTTTTATATATTCAATGATTTTATCGACTTAAATCAATTCACGTGGGATTTCAGAGTTATTCCTGACAGCAAACAACTGTTCGACCATCTTAACCAAATCAATAATTTATCATGGTCATCTTTATTGAATTTTCTAATTCTAACTTCTGTAATCTAATTATTTTTTTGAATTAATCCAGACCTGTGGAACTCATACACCTACAAAGTCAATTCTTCGATCAAGTTCTCGTGTTAATTCATTAGAGAGTAAAACTTTTAGTTCCGATAATGTAACTAGTATGTCTCTAGTGAATCTTCGATCTTCACCACCAGATGTCAGGCGTAGATTTGAGTCAACCGATCGATCATCCCATTTAAATGGTAGTGACCAGTCAGATAGTGAAAATGATCAACATTTAAATCGTGGTCATCGAAGTGTTTTATTTCTTGATCAAGTTGCAGCACCAGATCGATATCGTACATCAAGAGTCATCGATTTCGATTCAGAACAAAGTAATTATTCCACGTTTAGTCATAGATCACCGCCATTTTCTCGAACTATCAGTCCATCGTCATCATCATCTTTGGCATCTTATCCAGCTAATTATGAACCATCACCATTGATAAGGAAGAAGAATTTCGATGATCCAGGTATTGAGTTGGTCAGTTGTAGTCCACTTTCATGTTCATCAGGGAACAATCAACAACAACAACACCAGCATCATCATCATCATCATAATTTTAAAATGCATAAATTTAAACCTTCCATTAAACGTCTATCGTATTTGAATGCATTTAGTAAAAAACGTAAAGATTTCAAAAGAGGTAATCTTACATTGATATTAGATCAAGAATTGGATAGTATTTGTGATAACACTAGAAGTAACATACATAATCACAATGTTAATGACCATGATTCTGATGATGAAGAGGATGAAGAGGATGATGATGACGACGATGACTGTGATAACAATGAACATAGAGAAAGTTTTAAACAATTCAATGAACAAAATGTCTATGAAGAGTTACCACGTTTAGATACATTGAAACTATCATCAAATAATTCATATTCAAATGGTGTACGAGATGTATTGACTGCATCAAATTATAATGATGATTATTTTCATAAAAATATTCAACAAAATAAATTTAATCATACCGGAAATAATGTCAATGACAGAAAAGTCACCACTGTCAAGGTAATTAATTCATTTACTCTATGTAAATATACTATTTTATATTTTTAAAGTAGTATAGTTTTTATTACTAAATGTTGTCTTTGGTAGTAAACAAACGACTACTGTATTAATTATATTTTGTCTAAAGTTTTGAGAAATCAAAGCTAAATTTTAACAGTTAGCAAACATCACTATTGAAACTTTCATCAACAAAGTTCCAGGTACTTCGTCAATGGCTGTATTATGAAGAGGGCGGCCAAACCAAAACATGGCACAAATCCATGAAGTCATTGACTAGTGGACTGAGCCATGTCGGTAATTGTCGACTACCTGGTTGGGGTCCGTGAGATGATAATAATCGATGGTTAGAGAGTCTGAATGACATGGCTCAAAACCGTTCTCAATGGCGCCGGTGCATTTATTCTTTATGTTCTCTCAAATCCTAATCTTCTGGATTCTTCAACATCTCTAGTTTTGATTTTCTTAACTTTTCTCACTGAATCATACTTCGTGAATAATATCTTCTCATCCTAACCTCTCCGATTACTTCTAATACCTTTGCTAACTCTTCTACTTTTGGATTTGAATTGACAATTACATCTCTGTGCTAATGTTGTGGTATGGCAACATGAACTGATGTACTTACGTACAAAGTTCTACGTTGCAACTGACTGACTGAAGAGATTCCAAATACAAATGGTTTAACGCCTGAGAAATAGTGGGATCACCTGGAAATCTGCTTTCAACTATTTTGGTTTTCCAGATACCAACAATTCTGGAACAGTAATTCCACCATTGAGATATTATTTGATTCTAAGTGCTTTCTAGGCTTATATCATCTAGTGAAAATATGTTCTTAGCACAGAATCTTCGGTAGGATTGCTCAGTTTTATAGTTTACTGTGCTGATTAGCCTTTGTTTAGCATTTATTAAAAGCCAGAAGGCGATGAGTAGATGTTTTCTTTTCTACTGTTGAAATTCTCTTCAGTGCATAATGTAAAGCGAGGAGGAATGAGGGTCAAGGCATTCGTTTATGAAAAGTAGTCAGCTAGCTAGCTTATTAAAAGTTAAACATACCATATGTTGATGAATATTAGTAAATACATTATTCTTGAGAAAAAAACTCTTTCCACAGTTTCATTTGTATTGATTAACTAGCTTCCTACATACTTTGTAAAAATGAAACAATGTAAAATTTCTTCTGTTAAGTAGTGATAAAATACAGATTGGTGTTATTCAAGTAATTGAATAAAAAAAATAATGAGCTCACTGATCAGTTTAAGTTAGATGACTGTTTAGGACCTGGAAGTACTGAATAGTTGTTTTGTTTTAGTCTAGGTCTTCCTTAGAAGTAGACATTTACAATCTTTCTCAATTACAGTTACATAGATCAGTGTTTTTACACGTTGAAATCATCAACCAAGCATTGTTAAGCCACCGTTAGAAACCTCGATGCACTGAGCGGCCGTTTCGTCCTGGTATAGGACTCAGCAGTAGTGCTCATACACAACTCTTGCACCTTTCAGGATTCGGACCCAGCACCTGGAGTCTTGTTAACAAGGAGTAAACACCTGTCTAATGCTTCAAGGTTTTCAATGATTATCTAACTTAGGCTTAGCTAATAATGTCAGTAGCGTAACCAATGGAAAATAAATTCGAAAATCTTTTTCAGGTATGATGATATACTGTTTCAACGATTCACTTTTTTGTCAGACATTCTAGAAAAATATATGAGAATGATTCCCGGTCAGTTTTAACAGTGTGAGATGTATCAAGGTTAATTCATTCACCATATAAATAAATTTCCGAATTATCACAGTGTAAACTATGGATCTGCTAACAGATGACCATCGAAATCATGAATCAGTCGATTGTTAGACCACAATTAGAAATCTGAAAGCACTGGACACCATTTCGTCCTGGTATGGAACTCGTCAGCAGTTCGCACCGACGACGATGATCGTCAGTGAAATTCGTTTAACTAATCAATTTGGTGGTATTTATTACTTCAGATGACAGGATATGAAAGTGATTTATGATTTTTCATGAGTATTTTCACTCCGTTGTTTTGTAGTTTTACAAAGGCAGAATATAACATTGATCGCTAAACCTCATTCAGTTCTACAGTATTTTTTACTAGATATGACCTATAGTACATATTGTTGGATAATCATATGACTGGATGGTTAGTGATTCTCAACGGTTAGACATTTCTAATCATGATCAAACACTGTTTGTTATTCTACAATCTTCTTATATTTTTTATTTTTTTTTCATTTAACTAAACTCTTCTTCAACTGTGTAGATTGATCGTCATCGATCGGATGTTCAACAATCGGACTTTGTATATCATCCTAATAATAATCCATTTAAAATTCATTCAAAGTATGCCAATGATTTGAAAAACAATTCGATTTCATATCATCCCACCAATACTGAACATACTCCAACTGGCAGTACAGAGACATTGATTGATTCAACAAGAAAATTGGCATCGACTGCCAGTATCAATTATTTGGATGAACAAAACACCAGCAAACTGCCAAGTACAGGTTATGTAAAAACAACGGTACAATGTACAAATTCTTATCCTAATCAAATGATTGATACAAATAAAACTAGTTGGAAAACAGTGTCAATTGATCAGTCACAAAAATACAATGCTAATGATATGAATATTAACAACAGTAATAATAATAATTTGAATAATAGTTCTAACAATGAGTATAAGGTGAATCCACGTAATCCTCGAATTATTTATATATCTAAATCGAATCCAGCTAGTAATGAGAATCAAATTAAACTCTCGACTAATCAGAATAAGATTGTTTCTGCTTCCCAATTCACTCATTCTAGTACAGTAGTGGATGGTGGAGGCTATTCACCGTATGGCTATGAATCTGATCAAACAAACATGAACCAATTCAAACATACTAATCAGATTGTTTCACCAGTTCGTAAAACAAATATAGTTACTATTCAATATGAAAATATTAATAATAATAATAATGATAATCAGTCGATCAATAAACCATAATTCATACTATTGTTAAAGCCCTTTGTTTTTGTCATTTCTGAATACTTACTCCACATACTGTTCATTTGTTAACACAAGTTGACCAGTGTTATTTTAAACAACTTATAATCTAGTATATATATATATCATATCATATCATATCAGAATTTCTTGTATTTTAAGTATACTTTGTGCATGATGTAACTTACAGATAAAGACATTATTTTATAAATATTTCTAAGAAAAAAAATATTGTATGCATTCTGTATTCATGTTCAATGATCAAGTGTGAATAGATGTTTAAATTGAATAATGATTGGTCAGTTTTTTTTTTTTGCATATGCTAATTCATTTAAATTCATGAGGCATTGAGCCAATCACGATCAACTAGTCTGTTTACTGCTTCCTAGAATCAATGGAAATTTATTGTCCAATCAGAAATCAACTACAATAATATATAAAATAAACAAAACAGGAATCATGTCGATTTGTTTATTCAAAATGTTTTTATCAATTTAATTTTATATATATATATTGAATAATTTTGATGAGTTTAATTTGGACTTTGAATAATTTACATGAACTAGAGAAAATACATATTTGAAATGAAAAATAAACAAATAACTTGTAATATAATAGATATTTTAATATTTCAAACCCTTATTCAAAAATCTTGTTTAATGATATTTAATTGACAGAGGAAATAAGCACAAGTACACACAGACAGGAAATGCTCCAATAGGTTAACAATCAGTTCAAAGTGTAATTAGATGTCAATTTTCATTATTATTATTATTCAGTAATTTCTCTTTCAGTCGTATTTTAGTGCAAGTTACTTTTTTAAAATATACTATTTTCAATAATATATTTACTTACCACCACCGTTCATTTTTTTGTCGCGCTCATTTATTCCATTTGATAGATATACATTTTTTGAAATAAGAAAAAACAAATTAACGATTGAACTTTCAATATATTCTCATTGTTTTTTAAAAAAAATTTTTTTCAATAAAATTAAAACACTTCACACTTTTTCCTTACGGGGTTGTGCAGAGTGTTAAGTTACACATTTTTGAAATCATGAATCGATCAATGTTAGACTAGCACCATTAGAAAACTGTAAGCACTGGACAGCTGTTTTGTCCTGATATTGGGCTCATCAGCAATGCGCATCGATGATTTTAACACTGATAGATCCCGGCTCAGTAGTCCAGTGGTTAGGCGTTCGCGCACAATAACGAAGGTCCTGGGTTTGAATCCCGCGGGGTGCAGGAGTCTTGGATGCACAATGCCACAGATGAGTCCCATACCGGGACGAAACGGACGTGTAGGTGCTTGTAGGTTTCTAATGGTAGTCTAACATTGATCGATTCATGGTTTCGAAAATGTGTAAGTATAGCATGGAATGTATGCACAAACGACTACTTGCTAGCTCAGATAATTGCGTACTTTATGTAAACGGTTGATTGTTTAGCATTTAGAAGTTAGGAGTTTAACTGGTCCTAAACAACTATACCATTAGAATAGTCTAAAAACAGAAGTCATAACATCTTCTAGTTCTTAGGCTGAATGTAACTGCCGGATTATAAGCGATAAACTTATAGGTAAAACTGATTTCCACCTGTTGATCGCATTTCATTGGTGTCATAATCTAGTCTCGTTCTGATCTGCAACCGGATCCTAACTGGTTTTCAAAATAATTCATTTGATTTTATCACATACTCAAAAATATCATGGTCTGTTGAGTAGGTTGATCTAGTGTTTAGACCCACTGACTTGACAATCTCTTATGTAGCCGTGTATTACGAATCTAGGAAGATTAACATGAAACGAGAAACGTCTTATTTTTCTGCCCTGACGCCTCCATATTTTATGTGGGCAACAAAACAGAAATATTTCAATATTTAATTTTCTGCGCTGAATAAATAAAATAAATGATTTGATGTTTAGAAAAAGTAAAGTGAATTCATTACCAATAGTCGAAATTTTAAGGTTCTTACGACAAATACTCAGTAGATACGTTTGGTTGTATATAATACGGTGTTGTTTATATTGATTTATCATGGCATTAATCCCATAGCAGTCGCTTTATATTCATAATCACAGTCTCAAGTGTTACTGGCTTATATATTTTTCTTGAAAAGTATTTTATTACACCTTGTCCAGTTTAGGCAGTAACTACAGAAGACAATGGGTAAGCTTGCGCGAATATTGTCCGATTGATCAAAGTTAGACATTAACGTCGTTGGATGTCGGCTCAGTGGTCTAGAGGTTAAACGATCGCACACAAAACCGAAGGTCCTAGGTTCGATTCCCGAAGGCAGGGGTCGTCGAAGAGTTTCATACTAGGATAGAACGGCTGTGCAGTGCTTCCTGGTGGTTTAACAATGATTAATTCACGATTCCAATGTAAGTATTCTGATAATAATAGAGATACAGGTGATTAAACACAAGTAGGGTGTGCTTTATGTAATGTAGATTTCATGCTTGTAACAATGACCTTGAGAAGTAATGCTTCTTAATGAGTTTTGTCATGACTTGGATGCTTTATTAAAATTGCTGTTCGTAATTTTGGCTTCATTGTTCAGCAATGTCTGACAAATGATCGATTATCAGTGTAAGGCTGTTTACTTATTTTGAAGATTTCAAGGAATAATAATAATTGTTATGACAATCAGTTTCACATTCACACACATAATCCAATGATGTAAGTTACGAAAAGAACGTATCAGTATATGATGTAGGAAAAAAAGAAGACTGCAAATAGATATTTTCTGCATGTTACGAATGTTTATTTACGTAATTGCACATGAAGATAAGGAAACTAATCGCTGATATCTTTTTCCTATACATAATTCTGATTCAAAATTGAAACTTACTACTGTATAATATAATTAGTAGTTTATTTTTTTACGTGTATAAAGTTGATAAAACTATTGAAATTCAGCATTTATGCTATTGTCTGGCATATTACATCCCGAAAGTAATTTTGCTGAGTGTTTGGTTACTTTTTGGTTTGTGAATATGAGTTTTTCTTTCCTACACGCCGAATTTCCTAATTGAGTTATGTTTTATTATTACCACAAATAAAAGACTCTATGTTCTTATTAAACAATGGGTATTTTAGTGTGTTGACTTTTTATACTATTGCAGTGAAGGAGAAAACAGGTGGGGCAACCAAATTGTATTTAACGAAAATTACAGAATTACTCAGTAAAATCGGAAAACCATATCGTAAATCGTTAATTTGCAAAATATCACTCCATCATATCGAACTGGACTGTTCCTGTTGCAAAACATCAATCCATTGTCACTATTCATGCGTTTCATACAAATTCCATTGTGTTCTAACTCTTCCTTTCTCCTAGATCTTCCCCCATCTTCTGCTGCCAGACATTACGTTGACGCTCACGTCATATACTACTTATAAGTAGCTCGCACCACACTATTACTGAAATTGTTTTAAATGTATTTATATCTGAGTGTTAATTGTTTAAATCAGCATTCTTTGATGCTTACAAACAAAACTTCTCGGTAAGATTGTCTTTTTTAGTAAGTACAGCTAAAAGGGAAAGGGGTTGTGGTATCCTATTAGTGAAATAAAGTTAAGAGTTGATGCTGAGATCTCAATTTTTGTATTAACTTCGCCTGGATTCCCAGTGAAAATGCAAACCTATAGTCAGAATAACATTTTGAACTCCAATAATGAATGAAAATAAAATTTATGAGAAATTGTCCACTGCTGTCAATGTTCAGTTTATTGATTGAATAAAAGTGAGTTATGAATGTGACTTGTTCTTTTGAAAACTACGAATTGTACAGCAGCTGTTCAAATTTCAGGTTATAATATTTTCTAAAAGAATCTTGATAGGTCATCCAACAATCCAATGAGCTGAGGGTACATCAATTTGATTACTTTCAAAATACTGATAAGGTCACACACAAACAATCCCAAGTTTTCTTCAAACAACAATCATGTATTGAAAATGTAAATTGGTCACTGAAAAACTACCACTAGAAACCTGGAAGTACTGCATGGCCGTTTCGTCCTAGTATGAGGCTCTTCAGCAGTGAACATCCACGGGCCCCACACAAGGGCATCAAACCCAGGATTTGTGGAATCGCGTGAGAATGCTCAACTTTTTGACCAGTGAGCCGACAGCAAAGGTGATAATATCTAACTTCGACCAATCCACAGCTTTGCGCAACCTCATCCATTGCCTTCTGGAGGTAACTACCTACACCCGACAAAGTTGAATTCCACTGGTCATGGCTTCTCAGTAGAACTCCAAGGAGTTCCTCAGGAAGTTAGTCACTAGTGATGAGTCCCATAATAGGATGAAACTGCCGTCCAGTACTTCCAGGTTTCTAATAGTGGTCTTACATTGATCAATTCATGATTCCCATGAAACTCAACAATCTTCACAACTATATAACAACAACAATCACATACATACTTTGAAGTAAACGAAGTAGTAGTGACAACATAATAACAGTGATGTTCTGTAGATCTATAGAAGAAAAGTTATAGAGTTTAAATTATGGAAACAAGTTTTCAAAATCCAAAGACGAGTTAAATTCTTTGTAGGTTTCAGTCATCATTTATTCGAAAAAATTGATTGCCTTTCAACCAAAAGCAACTTAGTTTAGTTTGGAAACTAAAAAATCTCAGAGTTGCGGAGTAATGAACTACCAATTTTAATAAACATATTTGTTCGAAAGCACTACTGGTAAAAGGAACTCATATTACAAAATTTTATCAAATTTGACAGCATCCTACTAATTGGAAACGATCAATAAATATATTCAACTCCTCTCAGCCTACTAAACATGTTCACTGAAATAGAACTATCTGATTATTGAGTTCATTAACAATGAACCTGCTTTGGGCCTCACCGAGTGGGTTTGAGTTAGACGTGGAACACACTAGCAATGATAGTTTTAGGTATCTGATTATTGTTCGGGAAAATGCTTTGGATAAACATAAATAAACTAGCCACTTCATACTATTAGATAGGACTTTATTAGGTTTCTGTATCTTTAAACACTAGAACTCAATTTCCATCAACAGATTTATTTGTAAGCATAAAACAATCTTCATGTGGTCGGAATCAAGCTATAGCTATCCTTAAGACTCAATTGTTCTTTGTCACCTCTCCTGACCGTAGCTGCCACCTTAGCGTGGTGGTCGAGGTTGCCTATCGTAATGACTCAACCGACCTATATTGGTTGGAACATATGTTCCTGTAGGTTCCACCATGCCAGGCATGTCGATTGGAGAACGGTAAGACTAAAGGCAGCTACTCAAGATCTGGGGACCAAGTTGCACTACTGACTGTAGAGAGGTGTGACAGCAAAAAGGTGTTTCTCTTGGACAACCAGCATCTGCAGCGATGCTGCCTTCTCACAAGGAAGTAAAGGGTGAGGAAAGGTCGACCCTAAAAATGTCACACTTCACCGATTTCCGTCTCCGGCAGTAAAGCCTTTTAAACAAGAGAGGAGCTAACACTTCCAAAACGTCCCCTAAGGTCATGTGTGACTGGCCTTAATCATTTGTCCCTTTGACTCTGATCACGCTACTAGGTCACCAAGACTAACACTAATCCAACTCCATTTTCAGGTCCCTAAAGAAGCTCCCTCCAACAGTGTGGGCAGCCGGGAAGTTACATCCGCCCTCATACCCGTAACAACACACGAGACAAAATTGGTCACAATCAAATCCTTCCTACACCTCTAACATCTCACTTATTTCCACGACCAATCCTTCTGTCATTCCTTTTCTGCCTCGTGCAGCTGACGCGGACGTTTCAGGTTCATGAAACTTGATTCCTGGTCTCCATTAACCCGCTCTAAACTACATACTGGAGCTTTCATTGTTCGAAATTTCTGCCAGGGAAACAGGCTTCATTAGCTAGGACTCTGGAATCCCGTACAATCGTATGTTGCGTCTCGGAAACGCAAATACAAGATGCGAGTGAAATT